CTCTCTCTCTCTCTCTCTCTCTCTCTCTCTCTCTCTCTCTCTCTCTCTCTCTCTCTTTAATCCCACTGAAGCACTGAAATGAACAAAAAATAAAATAATTGAAACTGTTGTAACACAACTCGTAATATAATTTGTGATGAACAATATATAACAATGTATAAAAATGTTTTATACATCTTTATGTCACATCATTCATCTTCAAAGATTCAATATAATTTCAATATAATTTTTATGAGACTTGACGCGCGTATTTTTTACTCGCGTGCAACATTTTCTAGACATCCAGTAACGTATAAAAATGAGTAGCATCTTTGTGGCTAACTTCTGAAGTGAGAATTCCCCGCGGGTGCTGACGGAACGTTGGCCCAGCCCTGGTGATTTCACGAGGTGCGCTATTTTTGGTTTAATTGCGAGATCTCGCAAATATAGCGGTGTGAGTGCGTGGTACATGCCATTGAGGGTACGGCGCGCGGAACAAGCGGAGCGGGTTTGGCCCGGTCCTTAATAGCCATCAATCATTGCCAAAATTCGGCAACGCGTCGGACAACACGGGCGGCAGGATACTATCACCAAAGTAGAGTTCTCCGGGACCAACGGGACGCAAGGAGAGCACGGGGACAGGGGAAGGGACCGTGAGTGAGACACGGAACCCGTTCGATACTTCCGAAAACTCGGCCCGACCGTTCCACACTCCGCTTGCGTTCACACTAATCCACGTGTTGCCAGCACGAACGTGCGCGAGCACTAACACGAATAAGATAGTTGAATAACAGGAAAATGAATGGAATCAATGTAATACATAGGCTGGTATTCATAGTTCGTTCCTATTTCAAGGTCATCTTAAGTAATGTCTTAAGATATTGTTCTGGTAATTGATTTTGACATCTTAAAACTGTATATAAGACAGTCTTAAATAAGAATCAACTGTGAATATCGGGATTATTCTATAGAGACTTATTCGTTTTGAGCAGATTTCGAAATTATGAGAAGAAACTTGCCCTTTATGATTAAAATTCTATCACTAAAGATGTGCGTAATTTTTGAAATTCATTAACCAAGAGAATTTGATTAACCAAAAAATTCTTCCCATGTAAATCTTAAACTAGATATACAAACCTTTCTAGAGTAAATCCGATGTATCTCGAAATTATATTTCTGTCTAACAGCATTAATTATATTTCTCTAATCTTCGTTATAGATTGCTTCCATACGTTGGTGAATTAAAAAACGGCTTCGATGTTTTCCTGCGGACATTCGTTCACTGACGATGAGATACAAATCGAAAACGCGTCGATAACTGCTTCCTCGCGGATGCGTCAGTGGGAGATTCCAATTAGATTAAGAGCGAAATGCGTTTATACGAGTCCACCTTTCATCGGATGTAACGACTGACAGAGATATGATGCGATACTGGCGGCAAACGGAAGCCAGGCAAGCTATGGTCCGAAGATTAACCAAGGGAGTTGCACCCACTCGCCTAGTCACAAACACGCGCGCACAGAGGAGAACCAATGATCCTGCTTCGGGTGATGACTCGGGGGATGTAATTAGATATCAAGTTTCACGCTCAGTCCTACAGCGAATCTATATTCGACTTCAAAGTACCCGTGAACTTCCTACGTGGCCACTCGGACCACGGGAAAAGTTTGCACGGACACTTAATTGGAGAGTATATTCGATGCGCGCTGCAAATGCTATTTGCATTTCAAACGAACCGCTCTAATGACACGACGGAGACATTTATTTGCTTGCATAAATCATGCCCGAGACCAGAGCGACCGAGACACGCGCATTGCAATTGCCGAGAACGTCTCGGAACGATCCCGGAAATTCCGGGATAAATTGTCGCTAAGTACAAGGATCGCCTTGCAGAATGAAAATTGCTTTCTACGCGTACAAATAGTAAGTACGAGCGATATTGTATGAACGCTGAGAGAAATGCTGCACGAGTCTGTCACGTTAAAGTGTTAGAAATGCTTCTCTCTCATTACGGTAAAATTTAAATTAGTAATATTAATGAAAATTATGCGTTTCGCCAGTTTTCTCCGTCCAGATCCATTCTTGGAATACCAACGTTTCATAAAATCCATTTCATCAGGGCGAAGAGCAGAGCTGATACTTAGTGTCAGTAGAAGTGGACTGCAAGATTCACGAAATGTTAGCATTCCAAGAACGGATCTGGACGCGGAGAAAACCCGCAAAACGCATAATTTTCATATAGAAAACACTCATGGAAGCCTTAAGAATAGTATTAATATAATGCGATGCACAGGAAAATATTTTTCAATATACTCGTGAAAAATTTATATTAATGATCGACTGTGTGAAATTTTGTCAGCATCTGTTCTCGATTGTCTAAAAATCTAAAAAAAATATTGCAAATTTGTGAAAATGTTTAATAATAAGTTTTTATTAGAAGTCAGATTGCATTTTACTTACTTTTTTACAGATTTAAGTTTATCTATCAAAAATTACAATCAAATTACAATCATTAATTGTATTTTCAAAGTCTAACTTGATTGAAGGTTAATATTCATTATAATACCTGCTAAATATAATATCAAATATTTTTAATATTATTATATCAACAGCACCATTATACACAGAAATCACAAAATTAAATATCGAGTGTATAAAGTCGAGGTTATTCATCAGAAATTAAAAAAAAAAGTGTAAATCTTATCATTATTATACGAATGCTTATCATTATTATATCGAGTCTTGCGATAATTTTCTCGCGACGAAATACTTTTACTTACGAACAGAAACAAGAACCTTTATCTTCTGTTTGCCGATTACACGAACGTGTTCGCCGCATGTACAATCCACCGATAAAACTCACCGCCTCGTGAGACTGTCCGTGAGCCGGACCGTGTACGTACATACGCGAGTCTCAGGTCGTCTGACGTAACGTACGTAATTGTCCGGTGTACATGTATCCGGGGAATATGCGAAACAAGAACCGTATTATGTTCCTCGCGTACTTGCGCGAAACCAAGTTATCTTAAGTAACCAAGTTATCTTTTGCGCGAATGAACCGCAACTGGACACACATCTTCGGGCAAAAAATGATTCTCGTTTCGATTTTTCAGATATACATCCGCCCACCCCTCTCCTCTTTCCAAATATGAATCGCAAGAGCGAGGATAACAAAGTGTGCAAAAGAGAAGATATAATATCTTTAGAGTATTACATTGCGAATTTGCTCTTCGTACTCGAATATGCCTGTATTTGGCCCGTCAAATCATTTTCGCCTCTTAAAGTATTATTTTCAACGGTGGCGACAATTGTATTCATATTGACAAACTTCCTGCTCCTGTTCTCGGAAATAGTGGCGCTTGCGATGAGCAATGATCTGAAAATATTTGCTAACATCATCGGAGCAATCAGCATGCATGCAGTGGGTTTAATGAAATGGTGTTATTCTATATGGAAAAATAGAGAAATCATCGATCTTGTGAGAAAGTTAGAAAAATGTCATGTATTTTGCCAACGAATCGATAATAGCAAGGAAAGTATGTCAATTAATTATTATTGCCAGTGTAACTTATGTGTGTTTTTCAGTAAAGTTTTTAAAATATCGTGGCAGATATATTTTAAATCACTTTCCGTCAGAGATAAGTAAAGAAAGATTGTGTTATTAATTACGTTGGATCGTACGACTTTTGCTGCTTTAAACTTAGTGAATATTTATGAAATAATTTTCCATTTATATGTTAATTTAAAAAATGCAATCTACATTCTCTTTATATAATATTATAGTTTTTTTGCAAATCCTTAATATTTAAAATTACTATTGTTATATATTGAAATTGCTAATGAAAAATTTTTATTAGGATATCGAATATATAGGAATGAAATGGAATACACGCGTAAATATTCTAATTTCTTTATATGCTGTTGGACGTTTGCTTGCATTTACGGCATTCTACATTGGTGTGCCAATCCATTGCTTCTAGAATGGGCACCCAATAAGAAAAATTCAATTAATCAAACATTAAAAAAAAGAAATCTACCGTATATCGGGTGGTATCCGATAAACACTAACGATATTTATAATTATGTTTGCCTGTATCTCATACAGATAATCGGCGGAATATCTTCTGCGCTTGGAATTATTTGTTACGACACTTTTTATGTCACCATGTTGATGGTCATCTGCGCACAATTTCAATACATCAATATCATATTGATGAAAATCGATTTTGACAAGTATTATTTGTTATGTCGATTATTTTAAAACAAACTCTTTAATTATAAAAATAAAATATTTTTCGAAATTACAGCGTATCAGAAACTGTCATCGTTCTCCAGAGCAAATTAAAGAATTGCGTGGATTGTCATACGGAGATTATAAAGTAATATTTTCACTTAGATTATTATGCATTATTGCAAAATTATAATGTAACATTATTATATTTATACATTACGTAATTATGTAATATCTCATGAATCTAAAATAATTATTAATATTATATTAATAATGATCTACGTTTCATTCATAATTTCGTGTCTTTCTCTCTCTAAACCTTTGATATTCTTTGCATTCTTTCGTAATTTTATTATTCTTTCGTAATTTCGAAATAATGCTTTGTTAATCGCATTTAAGAAATATGTTTATATTTCTAGATTTATAAAGATGTTGCAAACTTTTAGCGGTCCAACAATGTTCGTGCAATGCATCGAAACATTACTTATCATTTGTTTAGTCTCATTCGAAGCATCAATGATTAAAATTGCGGTACGAGTTATTTTACAAAGTATTTAGCGACACGCATATTTAATGCATTCTGTATACATATTTAATGCTGTCATTCGAATTATTAAACTACAACGTTTGTACATCTCGGCTACAGATTGACATGGAATCTATTTTAAAATTATGGTCTTTGTTTGAATATTTTTTATGCGCCGCCTTGCAACTGTTTATTTTCTGTTTCTCTGCCGCTCAACTCGAACATTTGGTTAGTTTCATTTATATCAAAATACTAAAAATTTTCTCTTACTATACTCTTAAGAATTTTAAAATGAGAACAATGTACAGTAAGGAACAATTCAGAATTATTAAAAGCAAATATTTTATATTACCACTCTATATTAATTTTAATTTTTATATCAATCTAGGGCTTGCAAATTGCGCAATCAATATATTCTTGTGGATGGGAGTTTGTGGTCTTTAAAAAAAGAGAGAAAATGGATTTCGGAAAGCAGTTAAAAGACATCAGTCGATTAGTACAAACCATTATGATACGGGCACAAAGGCCGATTATTTTAACCGGTGGCCCATTTTACGTTCTCTCATTGGAAACTTTCAGAGTTGTAAGCAACGTTATATGCGACAATTTTTATGTATTCATTTAATTCATTTTGTATTATTCCTAGAATTTTATATGTAACTTTTCAAAATTTCACAGAATTTTTGTTTCCTTTTTGCAATATTATTATAAAAAATGTTTTATAAACATTATATTTTATTATATCATATATATTTTTTCATGAAATATTTTACAAAAATATTAAAATTATATATAAATATAAAACAAATGTAAAATACCTATGAGTTTTCGCTTGATTGTTGATTGGCAAATAATATTTATAAAGCGACAAAGTATAATTTAAAAACAATAAAAACGTACTTTCCAATGAAATTAATTCCAACTGTTTGCGAATTACATCTTATCGCTTTATGTTATTTCCGCACTAAAAATCATAAAGGCTCGTATAGGCTTTTTATATTTGATTTATTTTTGGATTTATTTTTATACAAAATCCTTTTTATTTTTATATTAATAAATGTAAATCATGAGAATGGATTACAATTGTGTGTTAATTTATGCAATAAAAAATTTGCTGGAGTCTTTATTTGAAATAAAAATATAAACTTTATGTTACAGATAATAGGTTTGGCGATGTCAAATTCTATAATGTTACGTACAATTTCTGATGTAAATGAATGAATTAAAATTTATAACTCAATATCTCTTTGTTTTTAATATAAGAACCTTGTAAATATTTGATAATAACAATTGAAATAGAATGTGTATATCATAATTAATTACAAATACATAATACTTATAATTCTCTATATATTTCTACAATGCAATGTCAAAAAATGTCTCACGTAAAAAATAAAACTATTTTCATACAAATAATTTTCTTTTATTTAAATATTTAAACATGAAATATAAATCTAAAATTACTCATATGAGATTAGTGACTGTGACAGAAACTTATTTGTATTTATATTTTCCGAATAAGATGGCAATACACAACCAACAGATGATTTGTGTAATTAATATGAATATAAATACAGAATATCGATTATTCAAATAATTTAAAAGAAGTATAAATTTTTTTATGTAAAATATATACATATTAAAAACATTTTATATCTCTCATTTTATTATCATTCATTTTTAATATTTTAAACTTATTATTTATTATATTATAATATTAATAATGTAAAACAATTTTTTCAAGTGTTAAATAAAGTAATTAAGGTTTAAATGTCTCTCTGTGATCTCTTTCTAGATACAAAATTATAAAGGTTGATATCAGTAAACGTTAACATAATCGCTTGAATATGTCCGACTCTTTATTATTTTAAGTTTTAGATTATAATTAAGAAGAAAATTAATTTCAACAATTTTTTATTATTTAGATATTTAAAAGAGATTGTTATATACTGTATACTTCATTTTAAATTGATAATATTATTCCTTGTATTGTATATATCCAATTTCTTTTTGTCTAATCCCTGTTTGCTTTTAAAAATTGTCTCTCACAATTTCAATTTGGCTAAAGATATAGATATAGAATGTGCGGAGAGGGGGAAGAATACGAATGTAGGAAGGGTCTGCCGATGGAGTGGGGATATCGTTCACAAAGAGAGAGGAGATGCCATCCACCTACAACCGTATAAGAAGCCCGCGCTTCTACCCGGAGATCATAAGAAACGTGTTGGCTGCGATCTACTAACTCTTTCGCATGCTATCTTATCACGGCAGCTACATGTCCTGATCGAAGCACTTCGGATTCCACGTGGAGTGGACTCGCCGTGACGGCTCACTTCCTACTATGTCATGCTTACCTGTCATCTAAAAGTTGAGATTAGAATGCATGTAGTCACCCTTCTGGAATCTGGTCGTTCTATAGTGACGAAGATGACGGAACGATGATCGGCGCCTCTAGTTACCACTGTAGACATGTCCCTCTCGAGCGTAAATAATGCTGCTCATAGATGCATTCAGACTCTGCTTACTGTTTGTCAGCTACTCCTGGTAGGTAGCGCTAATACTTTCGCTGAGGTTCGATTTCATATTACAATAACAATAATAAAGGAATCAATAAAGGAGAAATGTATAAGAAAAGAAATGTATATATTTTATATACATAAGATTTGTAAACAAGATAAAGGCCAAAAAATAAGATAAATGATAAAATAACAATAAAAATATAATAAAAAATATAATATTATAAGAAAACATACATGAACGAAATAAAATAATATAAGAAGCAGAAATATTATAGAAGGAAATCAATGAAGGAATTTTGTTTCTTTTATCATTAAATACATATATTATTTAAATGATTTAGATATAATAAAATAATAAATGATAAAATAATAAATATGAAATATAAAAAAAATAATAATATAATAAAATAATAAATATAAAAATTAGAAATAGAGGAAAATAAAGAACTAGATATCATTCGACGTCTTTCATTATCGAATTGGCGATTAGTTATGCATATAAATTTACATAGAGCTTGGCGTCTTTTCATACGTAACAATATATTCGCGACTAGATTCGCGGCTAGGCGTTTTTCACGATTCTTGACCCGGTATGATCTCCTGATCATATATCCGCGAGTCCTGTTGTATCGATTCGTTCGAGCTCTGGACGGTCGATAACCATCGAAGCTACGTGGGCATCGAAAAAGGTGAGAGCTGGTCTTTCGTCGCACGATTACGTCTCGATGCACACGTACGTATCGTTAACACTCGCCAAGACTCCTCACCTGCCCATCAAAAGACGTAAAGTCAGCCGCATTGACCAACCGCCGAACCGGGAAACACGTGATCAAGGAGGTTGATCGCGCGATGCGAGACTGTTTCGAGTCATCACGTGACCAAGGTCGATAACCTAGAGCCAGCGGCGCGGTAACATTGAAGATACCTTCGCCAGCCGGCACCGCTGCGCTCGCATGTTCTCTTCGTCGTTCCTTGGCGAAATGTGGACGCCTTTCGGGAACTGTTTTTCTTGGCACCCTAGAGTGTGTGCTAGGCCACTAATTGTTCGCAAGGACTTACCGCGATGAGGAACACGTGGGACCTTGACGAAGCTTACAACGCCTAGGATGTATGCTCCAGTTCGAGCGCTCGCGGATAAAGCCGGTGCCTGTAAATCTCTCGATCCTCACCTTCCCAACTGAAGTTAACAATGTTAAAGCTGTGACATTCTTTTCTCAAAATTGAATTAAAAATAAATTTAGCTCTCAACACATATAACATAATTATGATTAATCATGATTTTCACTCTTAAAATTGAATATTTGTCTCGATTTTTTATCGCAGCAATTTTTAATCTTAGCAAAGTATGTTTATTACAGTAGAATAATCGATAAAACATATTTTAATTTAATTCTTGTCTTAATTATTATTTCAAGGATTGAATAAAAGAAAATATATATTGTGATATATTATAACATTTTAAATATTCAAGAATATTTTAAATATCTAGAATATTTTAAATATCTAGAATAACGAATATATAAATGTATTCTCCTAATCTTCTTCGTCGCTGATTGTTATGCGAGATAATGCAGGCCGCTCAAATCGCACATTGGATAATGATTCTTCATCATCGCTAATTATTACGCGAGCGCCATTTGTCTCGGTATAATTACTCTTTAGTGGTTCTTCCTCCTCGTCACTATCGACTAGTCGACGTTTCTTTGTAGCCGGTTTATCCTTATCAGATGAAGAATTGGATCTGTCTCTCTTTATGTCATCTGTAAAATTTATGGAAATTTACAATTAATGCGTGATCAATAATAAAAGGATCGATCGATTCCTATTTTTTATCAGCAATAAAACTGACCGTTTTTATCATCGACATCTCTTTCAATTTCCATTTCCGATTCAGAAGAATCATCGAGCATCCTTATTCGACTTTTCACGTTGCTTATACTTTCTAAAATTTTGTATTAATGTGAATATTATGATTAATGTCTAAAAATTTAATCCGATAAATTTATTTGTCGGTAAACTCATGGTAAAGGAACAGTGGTTTACTAGCTCGAGTAACAGAGGGCGAGAAAATGTAATTCTGTGTTCCTTGTTTATTAGAATAGTTAAATTATGATAGTAAAGTACCTTTATTTGTTTTTATTGTAATTTTCGCTTCGTCATGTTTTTCTATAATTTCTGCTTCTTCGTTTTTTTCTGTAACTTCTGTTTCATCACTTTCTTCGTTTAATGTTAATGTTTTAGATTTCTGTGATAATTGAATTTTAGTGGATACTTTCGACTGTTCGGAAGTTGACGGTTTTGGTTCTAAAAATGATTCAATATATTTTTTAAAATAGATTTCTATATACGTTATATACATGAAAGTAAGAAATTTTAATCCTATAATGTTACACATATTCTTTTACATCTAAAAAATTCACTCACATAATTAGAAATCCTTTTACATCTTTTTATTTTATTCTATAGGTTACAAAGTAGAATAACTGAACTAACACTATTTTAATATAAAAGAAAATAAACTTTTATTAAATATTATGTTAAAATATCAACATTTTAATGAAAAGAGTTATATTAAATTTGAATTAGCACTAAGGTAAAAATTCATCCACAGTAACATTCCAGAATTAAATATACGCGTGCTGTCATGATAAATCTCAATTAAAAAAACTTTTGAAATTAGTTCATAAAGAAGTAACTCATAAATTTTAATTTAAATCAATAATATCAATGATAAATTGATTGTATTTCAGGCAGCTCAGAAAATATTTTATAATAACGTGTAAAGTTTTTCAGCGAAGAATTTCTATAATGATACACATTTTTCCGATAAGGTTACCAAAAAAGTACTGACCTCTGGGCGCAAAGAACTTTTTAACATGCTCGAACACATCGATATCTTCTTCACTGTCATCATCCATCTTTTCATCAATATTGGAATGATCTTTACGCGTTTCTAAAATATACTTCGATAAATGATCGTCATTCGAATGTCATCATATTTGCTAAACCACTTACCCTCAACAATGAATTCGCCGACTAAAGCGTCTTCGATGAGTTTGTAGCGTTTTTTAAGTGTGGTTGTAAGTATATTCGCTGGGATACGCCAGTAAGATTCCTGGCCATCAGCCGGCGGCACAAATCCCATGGCGCGAAGGAGCTTTTGAAAACTCGGTGAATCCATCGCGGCCATCGAGTAATCTGTCAGTGGTACTAAGGGTATGCCCTCGAAGCTCTCTTCGTCACGATCGTCCAGAACGTCTTGCAGAGATTCCTTGATCCATTCCAATGCCTCTTCCATGTCTGATTTAACGCGAATTTTTTCCGAGAGATTTTCCAAATTAATCTATTTTCTTTCTATTAATAAGTTCGTTTTGCTAACTGATAATGGTCAATTAAGTATTATTTGTTAGTCCTTACATTGATTAATCGAATAATATTAAAAAAAAAATGCAATATTTTATAATTCTTTTTTGGACTTTATAAATTATTATATTATTTGCAAATTATTCAGAGTAGATTTGCATAACAGGATTAGAATGATAAATTTCCTCTAAAAACAACTTCATTTATTGTAGGATTCGCGAAGCTCGCAACATGACATACTCCAAACATAGTGACTTGAGAAACTGTTTTTCCGACAAGTCATCTCTTTTTTTCCGCGTAATGGCTTCTGCAAATCATCGTTGTCCCTTTTCTCCGGCAAGGAAAACATTTATCCTGCGTGAAGAAAGCGAGGGATATGTTGCACGCGCCATTCTCTTGCGACAAGTACGGTCTCATTAATCACAAAAACGCAGATGTAGAAAAAGAGAGGAAGACCATGAGAGGGCAGCGATACTTACTCCTGTCGATGACGTCCTTCAAGAGACCGGATAATTGTGCATCCGTGTAAACGATCGTCGGTAACTTCCGCCTGTTCCGTTGCTTCTTTTTCATCGGCTCCTCGCCTCGTCGAGGCGCGCTGCGCTTCGAGGATTTTCGAGTTTCTTCGTCGTCTTCGTCGTCGGTGGCTGAACTTTCGTTCCCATCAGAATTACTGGCAGCTTGCGTTTCCCACGACGATTTACCTTTGCGCACAATGCATGGAAACGATGTGAACCTTTCTCGAGCGAGCGTTCATCAACGTGTGTAAAGCCCGTCGTGCAATGTCGCACGTATATGTGTACGCAAGATATTTCACGTTACATTAAATAAATCTCGAACATAATATTAAAGAAAGTATAAATTTAAACTCTTTCTATAGATCTTATACGAAAGTATGACTCTGAAATATAATTTAATATGATCCAAATTTGTTTTGAATCTACATCATTTATTATGCATAGTTCCCTTTAAAAAAAATAATTAATTAATTAAAATATTAATTTTAAAATATTAATTTTTCCAAGAATTTTAACTGATTGAAAAAGAAATATATATTTTTGTAATCTGAATAATTTATGTTCCAGCATTCTCTTGTCTACGTTGTACGCACGTAAAATATATCATGCTTGGCGTTTCTTTTCAGAGAGAATGTACTATCAGATTTGACATATCTCTGTATATACTCAGAATATTAATTGAGTATATCTATTCTGTTTCCTACGAAAAACAATCATATTTTCTATACAGAATAGTCCCATCTGGGTTAGAGAGATTGCATCAAAACACGACATTGAAGAAAAATGTTATTTCACAGACACATACGGTGAACCAAAACTTCTCGGCAATGCTTCATCTTTCTGTAGTATGTCTATGATATGAGCTATCTCAATGCATTGAATACAAATAAGGGGCATGAGAGAGGAAAACAATATCCATGATAAATATGAAATTCCTTCCAGCACCATAATAGGAAGCTAAGGCGAGTGATATTGGTCCAAGAACGGCGAAAGTGCGGCTGGAATTTGCAGCCAATATTAAATAACAAGATTGATATTCCGTGATGATATCGTTCAAATATGAGCAACAGAAATAAAAAGATAACGTAAATATTATTCCGAGTATTTGAAAAAAATTGGATTGGAACAAATTTGCTTGAAAAGCACATCGCATTCATGTGAAAAAAAAAAAAGAGATGAAATAATGTTCGAGTCTTATATCTAACATTTTTTAAATAAAAATAAATAACACATTGAATATTTACTATAATTTGATATTTGTAATTTTATATTATACTTTATAATTTGTTACCGCAACTATTTTCTATTTTTGACAAAGAAAATATATTCTGAATTCTGAATATTAAAAATTGTGAAAAAAGTGACGTTTATTATTTCAACTGTAAATAAATTTACGCGAATGTTTTGAAGATTGATTGTTATGATTGCAGAATACCACGTGATAGGTATAAATGTTTAGTAGTTCGATAAATTTAGATCACCAGAATAGTTCTCGGTTAGGAACCGTGCATTCCGGTTCCATAATAACTTTTGCCGTGCTAAATCCGTAATTGATGTAGGTATAATCCGTTATATGAAAGGATTTAAATGTTGTAATAATTTAATAAAAATACACAATAATGCATGTCATGATTTTAGAAATTACACACTCTCTATCTGTAATATAATTAAATACCTGAATTTATAAATTAACATTCCTTGTTCATAGCTGAAACATTTTGTGTTATAATCAAGATCTTTTAGGAAATATTAATTAAACCTAATCTGCACAATTTAACATTTTCTCATTTCCATAATCGGGATAAAAAAGTGAAACAATTAACATACATAGATAAAAAATTCTCATGGAATCGCACTCGTTTCACTTGCAAATAATAAAAAAGAAAAAAAACAGAAGCAAATCTCGCAAACATACGAGCGGACTTGTTGATAATATCGGCGAAAGGTTTTTAATCTGTAAGAAATCGGTATAGAAGAACGAAAAGAATCCTGTACAAATTGATCTTTTACTCCTTCTCGCTTCCTCTT